CAAGCCAACAAGATCAATCAATATACAAGCCAACAAGATCAATCAATATACAAGCAGGCTGCACCAAGTGGACTTAATAGGTTATAAAAAACAAACCAAACCAAACCAAAACACACAAACAAAAAGCAACCAAAAGAGAGTACAAGAGGGTGGAAGGGGGATGTGTTGAGAGTTGTCTGAGGGGAATGGGAGGGGAAATTGTGGGTAGATACGATCACTGCATAAATGCATGAAATTTTCAAAGAAAAATAGATAATTCTGTAGTCAATCGTAAACTTAGATGTTGGTTACTCTTTCACTTCGACAGTGGCACTTGATCCTTCTTTCTTCTTTGCCCCTTCTTTAAATTATAATATACCAGATTTTCAAATGTTGTATGAGTCAGTATTTTTCTGTCTATCCCTTTTATGTACTAACTAGATGACCTTGTGTACAATCAGAACCTTTAGTACTTTTTCATCTTACTATTTTTTTATATATTGAGTTAGTCTTTTATTTTTATTTTTTATTTTTTGGTTTTTTTTTTGAGACAGGGTTTCTCTGTGTAGTCTTGGCTGCCCTGGACTCACTTTGAAGGCCAGGCTGGCTCTGAACTTGCAGAGATCTGCCTGCCTCTGCCTCCTGAGCACTGTGATTAAAGGTGTGTGCCACCACCATCCAGCTGAGTAGCTAGTCAGTCTATATTTCAAATAATCTAAACACTGCTATACTCTGGACTTGTAATATTTAACTACTTTGCCATATTTATATATATTAGATAAAATAAATATCTCATATTAATAAAATCTAAATTTCATATGACTTTCTTCATGTAGTTTCTTTATATGGCCATTCCTCTGTACAAAAAAAAAATCATCAGATTAAAAAATTTCCAGCTGGGCATGCTGAAGCATGCCTTTAGTCCCAGCACTTAGGAGGCGAAGGCAGGCAAATCTCTGTGAGTTCAAGGCCAGCCTAGTCTACAAAGCAAGTCTAGGACAGCCAGGGCTATCACACAGAGAAACTGTGTCTTGAAACAAACAAATATAAAAAATTTCTAATCATTTTCAACTCTTCTACCATACTCCTTACTCTATCAACAAACATTTTGAAAATATGTAAAAATTATATATTCTGGTCAACATTGGATATTAAATATAGAGAAAAAGGAATGAAGATTCCAGAAAGAAGTCTTTGAGTTTGGGCAGCCAAATTCAGTTCTTAACTGAGGAACTACATGTTTCTAGGAAACTTTTTAGAGACCCAACTCTACTCCAAGTCTCCATACACCACGTATGTTTATATGGAGCCTCTGTTCTGGACCTCCATCCACCGTGTATGTGTTGTATGGAGGAGGGCTGTTGGCCTGAGAAGGAATTGCTAACCCCGGGTCCTCATTTTTAATATGTAATTGAAAGGTGATAGAAGTTAAGTGGGGAGTTGGGTTTTCCAGGGATTCTGATCACCTTGGAGTCTCCAGTGCCCATGGTGTGAGGCTGTGATGTCAGTGCTGAGGTCACAGAGGTGACCTGATGGAATGGGTTCCAACCCAGAAGGCCTACAGGGTGGCTGTGCAGCAAGATGAGGGCGGTTTGGAGCCCTGCCTAAGAGAAAGGACGGGGCCACAGCAGACTGGTGTGTATCCTCCCGCCTGGAACCTTTTCCTGCTCCTCATTCTTTTACATCATCTGCAGACCATTTCCCTGGGTCCTGAGTGTTTCCCCACTGACAAGCACATTTCAATTCCATAATTTCCTCAAAGCATCCCTTTCCAAGTGGCCTGGTGGTCTATTCTATGTGGACACCACACCTCCCCCTGACCCCAGACCCAAGGCCCTCTTTATACTCTTTTTTTTTTATTTTTTACTTTTACCATTGTTTGAAAGAATGATCTCAGTCTTCTACTCCTATCCCCTCAGCTGTGTCCCCACAGACCTGGGCCTCCTGCTGCCCACCATGGCCAAAAGTGGAGAGGCTCTACCACAGGGCATCCCAGCGCCAGCCCAGGATTCCCACCTCATCCGGGTGACCGTGAAGACACCCAAGGACAAGGAGGATTTCTCAGTTGTAGACACGTGCACCATCCGACAACTGAAGGAAGAGATATCGCACCGCTTTAAGGCACATCCAAATCAACTGGTTCTAATCTTTGCTGGAAAGATCCTCAAGGATCCTGACTCGTTGGCACAGTGTGGAGTGCGAGATGGCCTCACAGTTCACCTGGTCATTAAGATGCACCGTCGGACCACAGGCACTGAGTGTCCAGCTCCACCAGCCTCTACTCCAGGCCCAAATCCTGGAGTTCTCCCTCAGTCAAGTTCTGTGTATCCTGTGGATGGGTCTCCTTTCAGTTTAGGTGTCCTCACAGGCCTCAGTGGGCTAGGTCTGACCTCAGGTAGCTTCCCTGACCAGCCAGGATCACTAATGTGGCAGCACATCTCAGTGCCTGAACTTGTTGCTCAGATCGCCGATGACCCCTTCATCCAGGGTCTGCTGTCCAACACCGGCCTAGTGCGCCAGCTGGTTCTTGACAATCCCCACATGCAGCAGCTGATCCAGCAGAACCCCGAGATCGGCCATATTCTTAACAACCCTGAGATCATGCGGCAGACGATGGAGTTTCTGCGTCACCCCTCCATGATGCAGGAGATGATGCGTAGCCAGGACCGCGCACTCAGTAATCTGGAGAGTATCCCTGGTGGCTACAATGTGCTCCGCACCATGTACACGGACATTATGG